GTTTTATGAAGTATGTTGAATTTAGAAGAGAAGAGCCTTCTAAAGATATATTATCGTAGTTTGATGATATGTAATGATAATTTTCACATGCACAAAACTTTAGGGTTATAAAACAACAACTAATGGCTAGGATATTCTGTAATAAATTAGATCTAACATAAAATTTGAAAAAAACCTTAGAGGAAGATAAAAGTGTATAATATTTCCAAAGAAATCTCTCTCTCTCTCTCTCTCTCTCTCTCTCTCTCTCTCTCTCTCTCTCTCTCTCTCTCTCTCTTTCTCTCTCTTTTTCTCATACACACACACACACACACACACACACACACACAATGAAACAAGATAACATGAAATGTAGGCAAATTAAGGAAACAGATTAAATAAGTGGAATGTTAACCACACCAAGAATCCAGCTATTACATGAAACAACTCAAAGCACAGAGATGAAGTACTGCAGGATGGATGAGTGCTGATGAGAAATGGTGATATAGCATTAGTCCAGCAGAGAAAAATGGCAATGATTTAGTACGGATGGAACATTAAGGATAAGAAATGATTAAATGAAAATATGGAAACTTGAGTTTGAGGAATAGAAAAGAGAAAGATACCCCCCCCCAAAAAAAGAGTTTTTCATGCTTAAGTGAATTCTGGACAAACACTAATTCCTCCCTACAAGTCCTTTTGTCACCTAAGATGGGGGTGACATAAGAGGAAACAGAATGGTTGGCACTACATGTCCTTTTGTTCTGAAATGATAGAGTGTTAAGAATAAGGTGGAAGGTGATGGTCATAGTGGTGCATAAGGTAACCCCAGTAAGTCTGGAGGCTGAGGCAGGAAGACCACAAATTGGAGGCCAGCTTAGATAATTTAGTGAGACATTCAGCAAAATAAAAAAGTATAAAGGTCTAGAGATATAGCTCAGTGCTAAAGTGTGCCTGGGGTGAAAGGGGAACAACACACAAGTAAGTATAAATAAAGATTGCATTTGTGCTCTCAGAGGTGCTGGAGCATCTTGTGGATGAAAGCCCTTCAGTTGGTATAGAGTAGGGAAGTGTTGCATTAAGATGTTAGGCAGACATCGATGTTCATAGCAGCACAATTCACAATAGCTAGACTGTGGAAGCAACCCAGATGCCCTTCAATAGATGAATGGATTAAAAAATGTGTCATTTATACACCATGGAATATTACGCAGCACTAAAAAAATGACAAAATCATGGAATTTGCAGGGAAATGGATGGCACTAGAGCAGATTATGCTTAGTGAAGCGAGCCAATCCCTAAAAAACAAATACCAAATGTCTTCTTTGATATAATGAGGGCAACTATGAACAGAGTAGGGAGGAAGAGCAGGAAGACAAGATTAACTTTAAACAGAGACATGAGATGGGAGGGAAAGGGAGAGAAAAGGGAAATTGCATGGAAATGAAGGGAGACACTCATTGTTATACAAAATTACATATAAGAGGTTGTGAGGGGAATGGGAAAATAAACAAGAAGATAAATGAATTACAGTAGATGGGGTAGAGAGAGAAGTTGTGAGGGAAGGGGAGGGGGGACAGTAGGGGATAGGAAAGGTAGCAGAATACAACAGTTACTAATTGGGCATTATGTAAAATTGTGGATGTGTAACTGACGTGATTCTGCAATCTGCATTGGGGGTAAAATTGGGAGTTCATAACCCACTTCAATCTAATGTATGAAATATGATATGTCAAGAGCTTTGTAATGTTGTGAACAACCAATAAAAAAAAAATAAAGATGAGGCAGGAGGAAAGAGCCTGAAGCCAGTGAGAGATAAGGAAGGGAGGGGCATACAGGAGGCAGTGAATTCAAGGTCAAGGGGAAATATCGAGAAATAGTAGCTCGGTCAAATGGCTGAAAAAAAAAAACCCGCAAGTGATGTATTGGAAGCAACTCTTCTGTCTGCAGAGCAAAGGAAAACCTGTATCATCTGCCTACCTTATGTGGATGGTGAACTTTTGAGGTTCATAATCACTATTGGACAAAAATAAAAAGGAGGGGCCCCTATGGACAGAAAACTACTTTATAGTTCCAAGGGAAAATACATCTAGACAGATAAGAAAGAAATCTAAAAATAAACTATAATGGGGCTAGAGAAACTACTCATAAAATAGCAATAGGGAATACAAATACAAAGAGCAGAACTTCAGTTAATGGCCAATAATGTGTTAGCAGTGGTAGAAATAATATAAAGACTTGCAACTCAGACCTACATCAGAACCCTTAAAAGAATAATTATGTAGAAGAGAGAATAGATCATTGAATCACACTCAAAAAGTAATACAATAAGTGGTCAAATACATCACTACCAATAATAAAAAGTTACTTAAGATTTTAAAAACAGTACAAATACCTTTCTTTCCTATACAAAATTAGTTTCCTTTTCAGTTCATTTTGTGTTGCTTTAGCACAATATCTGAATATTGGTAACTTACAAAGAGTTTTATCTGGCTTATGATTCTGGTAGCTGGAGGGTCCCACCAACACAGATCCAAACATTCTAGCTCCTTGCTGAGGCACCACATGTTGAGAAGCACAAAGTGAACCTGCCTCATGAAAAGGGGGCCAAGAATGTGTGGTAGCCTCACTTTAAAACAATCATTTCCTCTAGAACTAATCCAGTTTCTTCAGACCTACTCTACTCCTGCAAAATAAGCATTGAACATTTCAGAAGTTTGTCCCCCAAGACTTAATCATTTTCAACTAGGTCCCACTGCTTAAGATTCTGAGACCTCAATATTGTTGTACTGGGAACCAAGTTTCCAGTACACACAAACCACAGCAGTTCCTTTTGAGAAAAAGCTGCCAAACTAGTATAAAATAGCTTTGACCATCCTTCCCTTACCGTTAGTGTGAAATCTAGGAAGAGAAGGTCGAGGAAAATATCAGTGAAGCTAAGCAGATAAACTATAGAAGAGAGTTTAAGGATGCTGATAGCAATATAAAAATAATAGCTAGTGACAATTCAATGTGCAGTTAAATGGCACTAAATACAAAGAGGGGTGACAAAAAATCTTAAGAGTCACAAACCCATGTGACAATGATGTACACTATAATATACATAACTTGAAATTCTATATTTCAAGAAAAATCAAAATGAATGTATGTAAATCTCAAGGAGAAAAGCAGATATATTTTTCTCAAGATACTAACTAAAAAGTAAATTAATGCTTTAATATACTGTCTTTTATACTTCCAATCAATTTTTGAAATGCTCCTAGGAACAGCTACATTTTATGTGTACTTATTTAAAAAAATACATGATATCTTTTTTATACTCAATTTGAGATCATTCTCCTTTGAAAAATAACTCTGCTTTGACAATCAGCTTTTAGGATTTTATTTTATTTCGGGGGAAGTTGCATTATTACATTAAAACCCAAAGGTCAGACATCTGTGAAACATTGTGTTAATAGCTAAGAAGCTGAGGCAGAAAAATTCTTTCTGCTTCATCTCAATACAAATTGCAGATCAAACAGTGATCTGGATTGACAATGGCCATGCAATCTGAAATGAACTGTGCTCCATTTAACATCCTAAATGTCATACAAGGTATTGCATGTGGCTTTAATTTTCAACTGCCCAGCCTTATTCTTGGTATTTGTGCCTTCCAAAAGTGCTTTTTGACCTTCAAATGACAAGATTTTATACCTAGAATAAATGAGTAAAAACTTTGGTACAGTCATTGTAGCCAATGATTGCTTATTTACTTATTCATTTAGTTTTAAAATACAATTCCTTTGTGATTCAATGAGAAATATTAATTTTAACCAGTTTTTCAACCAATGGTCACATGCAAAGAAAAATATTTTGAAATTCTGTGTATTGGGAAAATATGTCAATAAAGTACTTTAAAAACACATTCTCAAAAGAATCAAGAATTCACAGACATAATTAGCAGATAATTCATGTTTACTCTATGACATGTAATGTACATTGAGGGTTGTTAAGTCTTTTCACAAAATAGGTGTTAAAAATGTTATCATTTTTTTTATTCTCTGCAAAAGGTAGGCTATTAAGAAGATAAAATAGAACCATCCCTACAGAAACTCACTGTATACACAATTGACTAAAGGAGAACTTTTTGCCTCCTGCCCTTCACATTAGATTTTTCCCAGACTCTTGCCTAAAACACATTCACCTGAAAGGAATATTGAGGGGGATAAATCTACTTGAAGCTCCTACTAGTGTAAATTAAATGTAACCAAAGAAATAAGCTTCATTATATACAAGTTATAAAGGTGGAAGAGAAACCTCAGGTGACTGACTCAATGTCAATATATGTAAAGTTAAAAATGGTCTTTAAAGGCACACTAGTAAGTTAGAATCAAGCACTTCTAATTACTGGTTTTGTTAACTGGGAAACAAAATCACTTTTCTGAATCTCAGTTTCTTCATTTATGAAATGGGTTCTGCAATGCTTGTCTCAGAAAAGTGTTCTAAGTAATATATTACCTAATACCTAAAACCAGATGATACAATGTAATTCAATACTGTGTATTTTTTTACAAAGACCATTTTTAACAAGTTAAACTTTTTTTCATAAAATCATTAGAATAAATATCTTTCTCCCTATTGTGTCAGTCCGCACACAGCTTTTATGGACATTTTTCTGGCCTGAGTGATATTAAAATATTTAATAACCCATTCAACCTGGGTGCCAACATACACTGTAGTTCTGGAAAATAGTTATGCTGGGCATTAAGTTAGTAGCTTGCTAAATAGTGGTTGAGGTGTCCAGAGTACCTCAGGAATGTTTCTGGCATGGCTAGGGTGGTAGAACACTCTTTAACCATTATGGAAGACTTTGTTGTATTTAACCATCAACTCTACTGTAATAGAACATCCAGCTAAATACCCATCCTATTCTTAGAGATTACTAATCATTCTGTTGTTTTGATGATTAAAAAGGCCAAGTTTTAGTGTTGTAATGCCTCTATTTAACATTCAAGATAGAATGTACTTTTAAACCTGGCACGGAAAAGATGAAGATGGAGGAGCTGCTCAGTTGTAAAATATATCTTTCTATCCTTGCCTTCTTTGCCAGTCCCTGTCTTACCTCTGGCTCCCTCAAGCATAAACCAAAGTGGAAGAAGAAAGATAGGAGTGAGAAGGGCTTCTACTACTGCTGTCTTTGTGTTCCGGCATTGCAGTTTTCAATGAGTTCTGCAGGTCTCTATGCAGTGTTCTCTGATACATGTCAAACAAACCCAAGTGGACTGCTTTATGTGTCACTCTTAGCTGCTGTTCCAATATACACTCAAATGGCACTTTTTAATATTTTTTGGAGAAATGAATGATGCTTTGCAGGTTGTTCTCTTAGGTGGGATCACTTTGACCCTCATAGATGCCTCACAACTTTCTTCTGCCCTATTAGAAACTGCATTTCTTCCCTTCTTCCTTGAAAATTCAGAGCTCACCACTGCTTTTTTCCTCTGATTCTTCCATCAGGATCAGCTCCGTTCAGTCTCCAGTATTTTAAATTTTCAAGCCAAGCATCAGTACGTGGGTTCTACAAACTCCAGAGGACCCACGTCAGGCTGTGGAGAGTTCCTTTGAAGCTGCTGACTCTTGGCTGAGGTGTGGGGTATGAAGGAGACTGAAAACTCCCCTCTCTAATCTTGTCCAACCATCTTCCTTGCCTGAGGATTTGATATGGACTGCTTTGCACACCAGGTTTGAATTCCTTTGTGGGTATTATTTGCATAGTCAGACACTTCTCCTTGGACCATGTGAAAATTTGCTTTCAGTTTTTGAGTCCCAATTAAAACTGAAATTCAAAGGAAAAAAAATTCTATGTGCTGCCTCATATTTTTGATTAAGAAAAAGGAATATTGTTTTCTCAGATTTTTTCCTTTGGCAATCAGAAAATGACTCTCCGTTCCTTATCGAATTTCCACTCATATTTTGTTATATCTGACCTAGACAAACTAAATTCCTGGAAACAAATTAGGTCCCAACAGCCTTAACTGGGCTTTACCCTGTGGCTTTGGGCTTAAGTAAACCTCTTCTCTACAAAGACACTCATTTGTTTCTGCTGCAACAACAAAAATATAGCCAGTTAGTAGGCTCTGCGGCCAATTGTGCAAATATTTGTGGTACCTTCTGTGTTCTCTACCTTTCCACTCAGGTGAACCAGGCTCCTGCTGTAACTGCTCAATTCTCTATGTTCTTGTTCTCTGGGTGGCCAGCCTTCTCTCATCCTGAGTTTTGGTTTTACCTCTTATGTGATGACACTGCCCAAAAGATTAGAAACAGCAGTGAGTTCAACCTTAGACAACTCTTTTGACTTTTTTTTTTCCAGGTAATTTCTTTTCTTCTCCTTTTTTATTTTGTTATAAATTCATAGTTAAGCAAGTAGTTATTCTGTACTTTATTTACAATAGTAATATTTTTAGAGAATTTTGATATACAATAACAAAAACCTGTGTAATTGCTAAGCAATGTAAGTAATAGACATAAATATAAATATAAAAATTTCTGAATAAATTGTGATGGACTACAAAATGGCATGTTTAATATTAAAAGAAATTAAAATTTCCTGTTGATAATGCATCTTCTATAAATTCTTAATTTAAAAAAATAAGAAAACAGAATATAATGCTATTGACATAAAACAGAAAAAAAGAAAAGGACTCAAAAAATAAGCAAACCCCATAAGTAAAAAATGTTTTTAGATAATTTTATTTTCAAATACTTATGTTTTCATAAGGCAATAAACTGCCACTAAAGGAAACAAAAATAAAAACATTTGTAACATACAAACAAAATAAATATACATAAGTTATAGTCATAATCTATGAATACAAAGCAGAATCACTTTATCTCTTGGTATTACATTATTTCCAATGGATTTTGAAGTGTGGATGGCCAAAGTTCATAGGTATGTGAAATGAATTTATAAACCTACTTGTGAAAATAGGTGAAAAGGGAGAGAAATAACAAAATATGAAGTTGTCACTCTAAATTTGCAAAAAATAAAATGAGTATCAATGTGTAGATCTTTTGTCACTGGCATTAATGAGACTGAACATACAAATACAAGTCTGAGCTTATCACAAAGCAGAGAATAAGTGTTTTTTACAAAGTAAAATAAGGGAATGGAGTTTTGGAGAGGATCAAGAAATTAATAAAGCTAGAAAAATGAAATATATTGACAGAGACTTAGGGCTGGGTGGGTGTCTCTATGATGGGTATTTTCCCTGTTTTACTCTGAGGCTTCATTAAAACCTGCAATTAGAGAACTGACTGCAGCTCCTTCAGAGTTGAATGAACAAGGGAGGAAATCTAAAGTCTCAAAAGGATGTGCATGACTGGTAAATGATTTGGCTGTATTTTGATAATGTAGAATAAGAAAAAAGCAAATAGATGAAGCTCCTTGGAGGATGTAGTCTCAACCAAAAAATTAGGATAACCATAACAATTAAAAACTTCAGTGGTCAGTTTTCCAGAAGTCAAGAGCAGGAGTAACCAAAAGAATGAAGTCCAGGCTGGGGTTGTGGCTCAGTGATGGAGTGCTTGTCTAGCATGTGTGAGGCACCGGGTTCGATTCTCAGCACCACGTAAAAAAATAAATAAAGATATATTGTGTCCATCCACAAGTAAAAAAATTAAAAGAATGAAGTCCACAAAGAAATTCATGAAAAAATTTTTCAAGATGACCTTCAAATCATAAAATTGAGAGATTTAATATTTTATTACCATTAATTCAATTCTTGCCATTTAGATTATTTTAATTTTTGTAAGATTGAAAATGGCAAAGAATAAAAATTGAGCTTCCAGTAAGTTGGTTGTATACCACCCAACAAAACAGCTTCAAAATATGAAATATATACAAGTATGCTTGCTGGAGACATTTTAAAAATATTGTTTCCCTTCAATTTTCTTCTTAATGTGTTTTCAAAAACATTGTTTGCACTAGGTTTGATTTGTTTCATATAATCTGGAACTCTATATTTCTGGATGAGTAGGACACAAAGGACTTCATAAAGTCAAACTAGTTTGATTACTTTGTTGATGGTGATAGTATTGACATTATTATATTGAGATAATTGTTTATACAGTTTACTATAAAGCAAATAATGAATTGTATCATATTAGAGAATGTTTTCCATTACTCTAACAAAACACTTGAGATTGGCTAACTTATAAAGAAAATCAGTTCATTCAGCTCATAATTTTGGAGACTTAAAAGTCCAAAAAGCATGGTGTTAGTTCTGGTGAGGGCCCACTAGCTAATCACTTCAAGGTGAATGACATCATGGTAGAGTTGCATGAGAGGGAGATCATATTTCAAGGCAGAAACCAGAGTGCAGGGAGGAGCCAGTAATAGTCCTCTACTAAGACTCACCTCTTTAATGTTCTACCACCTTATAAAATTATCATGCCAGGGACCAAACTTCTAACACATGAACTTTTCTGGCACAAACCATACCTAACACAAAATAATGTTACCTTTTTTGGAATATGGGATTTAGTCATAAGATAAAATACAAATATGGATACAAGATTGAAGAAGTGAAAGTAAAAACCTCGTAATCCTAAATTTGAATTGTTAATATCACTGAACTCAAGTTGTATTTTACTATTAAAAAATTAAGATTTTGATATGTTTGTATTAGGCTAAATGGTAGTTCCCAAAGATCTTGACTCCCTAATCCAAGAATATAAGTGCTAATTTATATAGAAACAGAGACTTGAGGATACAATTAAATTAAGGATCATGATCCTATATTATCCTTGTGAGTCTAATATAATCAAAATGGTCTCTATATGATAGACAATAGAGTTAGAGACACACAAAAGGCAGAGTGAAGATAGAATTTGAGAGAGAGAAGGAAGGAAAAAGAGACAGAGGTTCGAAGATGCTGTGAATTTATAAGCTGGGATGATGAGACAGGGAATGTCTATGGCCTCCGGAAGCTGGAAAACACAAGGTAACAGGTTCTCCCCTATAGCCTCCTAGAGGAATGTAGCCCTAATGACCTATGTAGACTTCTGACCTCAGCACTGAAGGAGGTAGTTCTTGGAGGAGTTAGTGGTAATTTGTTACAGAGGCAATAGGAAATGAATATAAGATCCACTGAAAAAAAAATTAGAGATAATGAGAAATCTATTTGCCCTGATTCTGCTAATCACTTAGATTGTGGTTATTTGAACACAGTTCTATGCATAAAGGTCAGAAGGTCTCTCTGAAGAGATGGTTGATTAAAGTGTATGCAAGCTGGGCTTAGTGGTGCACACCTGTGATCCAAGCAGCTTGGAAGGCTGAGGCTGGAGGATTTTGAGTTCAAAGACAGCCTCTGCAAAAGGGAGGCACTAAGAAACTCAGTGAGACCCTGTCTTTAAATAAAATACAAAATAGGGATGAGGATGTAGCTCAGTGACTGAGTGCCCCTGAGTTCAATTCCTGGTACTCCCCGAAAAAGGTTTTTTTTTTTTTTTAATGAATAAATAAAGTGTGTTCTGGAAACTGTGGAAGATCATATCAGAACATCTTGTAAAACAAGATAATAAAAATGATACAAGACTACTAGGGTCATGTCAAAAATCCCAGAGACAAACTTGAAAGATTTTATAACTGATACATTTGTGACAAATTGACCAACAATAAGAATGCTAATTTTCTTTTCAATAGATTAGAACTCATCAAATATTTTAAATGCATGAATACATAATAAGAGCAAAAAGCCAAAACCAACAAAATGAACAAACTAAGACAAAATTAAAAAGCTCATTAGTCACTGTTGAAGAATAACAGGCAACCATCTCATTGTATTAATTAAAATATGAATAATAGAAATAACAGGTTTTTTTCTGCTATTAAAACTATACCTCAATGCAATTGAATGCTTGTTAGGAAAAGTAATTTTGATTAAAATTATGCTAATCACATCTTAATGAGGAAATGATAGAAATAGAATCATCACTGACTCCCAATAATATAATGGTTCCCAGGAAAGATCATCAATGACTGCTATCCCTTAAGCAGAGAAAATCAGATGCAATGTTTTCTGATGGTAATACATACCATCCAGTAAATATTCTTGCAAAAAATGGACCTGATCATGAAATATAATTTCTAAATTTGAATTGTTACTATCACTTCTTTTCCCCAGTAATATAGGAGACAATGTAACACAGTAAGCACAGCTCTGTAAGAAAAATCACTTGAAATTAATTAACGTTTCAGATTCCATGAGGATATAATTGCTAGGTCTATTTAAAGCAATTTTATCTTTTAGAGATACATACTTATATCAATATAAATTAAATTATATGATATCAGAGAGATGCTTTAACAATAGAGGTAGGTGAAATGTGATCAGTTCTGAGTTTTAATTCTAAACGAAATGACTTTTTTAGGTTTAACGTTTACCCTGGTGAAAAATTTAAAATATTGTAGTAATTTCCATAAATTCTATGAAAAAAGAGAGGATCTAATAAAATGAATAGAGAAAGGTATATTTTTAAATTATCACATGTCATTTTAAAATTAGGCATTATTACAAACAGTATATGAGAATTTTTGGAGACACCTTAAGGAGAGATAGCTCCAGAACACACACTTACACAGTAATGATCAAACACTGATGATTTTAAAAGTGTACGATTGTTTATTTTTAAATTGGCAGTATCTTGCTTTAATCTGTACAAGGGAAGTAAATGCACCATTTTGTTGGGGATTCAATAAGTAGTTTAACTTGCCTGGATAGTTTGATATATATCCTACCCTAATGCTAAAGGGAAACATTACCAATACACAAATAAGGAAGTTATAAATAACAGCCAATCCTTGAAATGGTTTTATTTGCGTGAGAAAAACTGAGGCAGATTCATTTCTTCCAGGAATGATGAATGAGGGTCAGCAATTCTTATTGAAAGGTTTTAGTTCTCACTGAAGCCCTTGAAGATGACACTTGATTTACCTTTAAAGGTAACCTATCTGAAACATTTTACCAATATTATCATTGAAAAATATGGGTTTAATATAGCTCTCCCAATCCCTGTTGTTCTCAGAAACCCATATTGGTTTACCTTCTTCAATTTGTCCTCTGAAGCAGGGAACGATGGTCGGGGTTTAACATTGTTTACCTTTATATTTATTTCCAGCATCTATAGGTGTATGGAACTTAATTTGTGCTTGGTAAGTATTTCTTGAATACTTGATGAATGTTTTCTCACTGCCAATATCAGATTGTGTTCTATGTGATTGGATAAAATTAACAGTTCATAA